ATTGACTCCACCATCTCATTGTTTGTATGCAACATTTTTTACAAGATCACCTTGGGATTTATATTTCCTTTTCGACTTGTTTCCACTTTTTAACCGCGTGCAATGTATGCATGCATTTTGCCATCCGATCAATCTTCATTTGAATAGAAGCATCAACTAATACCTCAAGTGGTCCGTGTACATCGCAAGCACGGGCGCTTGATCTTTCTTCAAACTGTCTCAGCAGGTGCATGTCACTGCGGCAGCGCTTAATGTACGTGAAGTGATGGAGGTGCCTCAAGTATTCGCGATTTCATGTACTAGTCGGTATGTGTTAGTCGAGTCAACTAGCACCTGAGGTGCATAAAATAGTGCCTCAGGTGTTCCTGATTCTGGGACAAATATCAGCTAGTCCACAAGTGCATGATGTGCAGTGAATTTTTACAGTATACCCCTTCACAAGTGTGTAATCAATTGCAAGGAAAACTTCTATAAACTGAATTAAGTCTGGTGTGTTCTAAAGCATTTTCCTCTTGTTCCCAAGCATAATTTGACACATTCGCTCGCATGTTTTTTTTCGGATAAAAGCAGAGCACTGAACTCAAAGAAGAGTTACTAGGAAAAGGTAAAGATCAACAAAGCAACGTTATTTAACATAAACAAACTAAAATAAAAAGTGAAAAAATGAAAAAAGTAAATGTCAAAATCCACGAATCGATAACTCATAAATCCCCAGGTAATATGCCTAAAATATTCAGTCTTGCATATTTTAAGAAGATCAAAAGAAACGACACATTTATGAAGAAATAAGGAAAAACAAAAGTAGAAACTTATTCGTATTAGAGTCCTCTATGTCTTTAAAGATATCACTACGAAGTATGACGAAATTGAACAAATTGTGTGGCATTAGACGCATTTGATTTCTGAATAACACGATTGGGCGTAGACGAGACGAAATCGAATACTCGGGTCGAAATCGTGTGCTCATTGTTTGAGCTCCCCGGTCAATGTTGTCATCTCCAGCTGTCATCTCTGCGCAACATTTGCCGATGGCCGGGGGATGGAGGGCCCAGCAAAATTTGGTCGCACCAGTGCGCGGGTATACAAAACAATCGCATGCACATCATGAATACAAAAACGGCAAGACAGAGAATGACAAGCCAAAAATAGTCAACATTTAATCGTGAAACTGAAACTAATAATCTGCACTCAAAAGTCCCGGCCATCGAAGCCACATATTGCACTCAGATATGTTCTCAATGCAAGTACATGACGAAGTTCGTACAAGATTGGAACTGACTATGGGTTTACTAGGTGCAATGCTGTATGTACAGAAATAAATATGTCGGACCCTGTTAAATTTGGAACCATTTTAAAAATTTGGTCCGACCAGATGTTTTGTCCCATTCCCACGGTGTGTGGTTGGAATTCTTAGTAAGTGGGCCTCCTCCGCGCTGACCACGTCCTGTTCAGAAGGACATCTAAGACATTGCGTCACTCCACGAATCTAAGTTTTCCTTCAAAAGTTCACAGCTTCCATTGTTTCAATTCAAGGAAGTTCGATCACGCTGACCATTGAGTCATAAAAGGAGGACCAGATTGGTCAATCCCAAGCTGGCCACATTCCCTCAAGAATGTTAGCCCAGTACTCCTTTTCTGATTGGCTTTTCCGAAGATGATATCATTATTTTAGCTTTTTGACCAATTGGAAAGTTTTCCCAAACCTGTCCGAGCGCGCGATCGGCATGGGTTTTTAAACCCTTGCCTCACCTCAATTCTTCAGAAGCGAAGAAGACCTCGATGCGAGAATATCTTAGAGTGCTACCCTTTGCACTTTTGATAAGTTAGCCTAGGAACGAATGCGGACTTAGTCATTTTCTCGTGAGAGACGTTCCTAACTCCTTCTCGCATCATTTGCCACGTGCTTTTGTTGATACAGGTAAGCCGATGTTTTTCTTATTTCTGTATAGTCCACTTGTATATAATTTTGATGATTGTGATAGCATAAGAATTGTCCCGCCTAAGGATAATTTCGAGACAGCTTCACATCCGGCATGAGTTTCAGCCATTAATAATATGATTGCCAAATTTTGATTCACTATGTATGCTGTATCTCTATTGTAGTGTAGATATTTGCTCTATAATCCTTTTATTCACTTTCCAATTCTTATCGTTACCGTTATACGATGTAAGTTTTTATCACTGAATTGATCGTAAGTTTTTGACCAATTTTCATGTAACCCGAATCCTTGCCTGATTTCAGAATAACTGCCTCGCCGGGTCAGTTAGGAAGTATGATAACTTGTGCCTGATAATTCCGCATTTTAGCAGAGCTTCAGTGTCATTTGTGTATTCTATATTCCTTGTAATCTTATGTTGAAGTAGTTTTAGTCCATGATTTTTAAGCAACTCTTGATGAGACATTTTTATTGCCATCCCTCATTTATCCGTTATGTCCCACTTTGATTCTGATCTGGTTTCACTACGCGTTGCTAGTTCTTGCTAGTTCTGTTACCACGGACACGGGATTGAATATCTTGTGTAATTGTACCCCTTAGGTGACCTTGAGTAAGGTCAGTGCCCAAACGCACACTGTCTTTTTGGCTAAATCGTTGAGTGCATGTCCAAGTGATCATGAGCAGTACGGTCAGAGAGTTTCGAATGTGACTTTTATTTTCTCTGTGTACACACATGTACAAAATACGTGTGTGTAAGGCCCCATTTGGATTAGGATTTGTTTTTGAGTCCCTTTACACTATGTTTGTCTTTAGTTCGAGATGATCACTGGGTTAAGGTCTTTCACGCATCCCATTCCATTAAGTTAGTGTGTCTTACGACCGGTTGCGGTTGAGAGTATTATGAGCAATCATGCCCTTTGCCCCACACGACCAATCTCATGTCTCAAGCATGAACATGTACAAAACACTTCCTTGTTTCTGACTTAGATTAATGTTCTGGGTGAACACCATAAACTTTAGTTTTTATTAGTTGTTAGACTATTTTGGCTTACTTTATCCTATTTGTCACTAGTTTTTAACGTTTTTTGTAGTTAGTAATTTTAATACAAAGTTGGTTCTAAATAAGAAGCGAAGAAGACCTCGATGCGAGAATATCTTAGAGTGCTACCCTTTGCACTTTTGATAAGTTATTCTAGGAACAAGTGCGGACTCCACTAAGTTATTTTCTCGTGAGAGACGTTCCTAACTCCTCGCATCATTTGCCACGTGCTTTTGTTGATACAGAATACGGAGTCCCCAGGTCACGCTTTGAGGAGTCGACCCGGTTCGATTCTTCGCCCGGCCTGTTCCTGCTTCTCACCACCACCCCTCTCCGTCTGGACCACCGTTCGCTGGACTTCGCCTGGACGCTGCTGCTTTACCTGGAGCCCATCCTAGTACGACACCGCATCGGCAAATCAAGACGAGTTCCAACGCGACGCTTTGAACCAAAATTCCTTGTTGTATTTTATTGATGTATTCATTGATGTTTGCTATAATTCCTTGTGTTGATGTTTCAGTGGTTTGACTTCATTGCGTTTGTTGTATTATTCATGCTGAACCCTATGCATACTGTTGACTTTTTGATTTACACAAAATAGACCTTGAGTACTTTGCAAATTCTTTTCTTTGGATTCAGATAATCTGAGATTTGATAAATTGTTTTTTCACATCCTTTGACATATTTTTTTGGGTCTTTTCAATTAACTTTTGTTGCAGTTGTTCAGATTTTTCCATTGTTTGGATTGCATTGTTGTTTCGAAACGTTACACCACTGAAAAGTCACACGTATGATATTTCGGATTTTGATGATTCTTTTATAATTGATTCTTGACCAATCACTATTGACATTGATGATTTATGATGTGTGATGAAATAATAACAGAGTGAATTTCTAGAGGAAAGGACCAACTTTAATTTCTGCTATCTGTGTGATTTTTATTCTGAGCAAAGTTCCGTCATTTACAACGAACCGACATAGGTCCTCAGACAAAGCTTGAGATTAACCTGTGACAAATATTACATATGGATAAGTGAAAGAAATAAATGTTTTAAATATCTAACCCAACGAATAACAAATAACTTTTAAACAATTGTTAATTATAGCCTAGCTTGTGGCGAAATAACACAATAAAATGTGTTGAAATATGAAAAGAAACAAACGAAACCACAAAAACAGATACTGGAAGACTGATAAACGTCAAGTACAGTAAACTCACTCCAATCCCGCTTTGTAATTCCAATAATGTACCCCGAAAGCATCAGAATTATCTAAAGGCCTTGATTTCAGACAGTAATTATTTTGTTTAAATAATAACGGCATGTTATTTTTTCTCAACAAAACATAAAGCCTGCGGCTTTTAAGATGCAATACCAGGTTCGTATGCAAATTTTCTTTCACGTGCTTTTGTAATAGACCTCAAAAACCTGCGAGAATTGCAGCACATCCGGTCACCACGTATATTATGACCTACAATGTGTATATAACATCCTATTTTTGCATTTATTTTGTGCCCTGACCGGACCAATCCAATCGAGGGCAATAAATGGGTATTTCGAACGAAAAGAAAGTTAATACTGTATTACAATTTACGACATGATTGAAAACGTTGCGAATTGATGACTTGTATTACAAAATTAAAGTTGTTGACCTCAACTTCTCAATCAATCATGCGGACAACAAGTGGGTGAATTCAAACACAGGAAACTGTGCCTAGACTAGTCAGTGTTTGATACCAAGACGTTAACATACCAAGTGAACGTGGACTGGCGAGACTTGCACAGTCTATTCTTTTGCTATACATGTACATCTTGTGCCGTATGTGGAGCGCCAATACTGGGTATAGTCAAGGGCGGATCCAGCACACAATTTTTTTTTTTTGGTCACCGAAAAAGTGGGTCCCAAAATTACGATGTGTGGTTCGGGGCCCGCTTAAGGGCCCCCAATCATTTTGGATAATAGATGCTCTGTGGTGCGATCTGAGGCTATTTATGACCACTTTAACCAAATCTTTTGGAGGAAAAAGATGGTGGTGTACGCAGTGCCAGCCTTTATTGCGACGCCACTTTAAAAAAAAATGGGTTTCGTTTTTGGGGGAAGGGTTCCATGGCCCCCGTTCCCCCCTCTCTGGGTCTACCGTTTGGTATAGTCTGACTGTGACACTACGAGGCGCTATTCAAAAAAGCATATTTTCCAGAAAATTACACAAGATTTTTTGAATGACAGGAGAATCCTCATTTTAAGGTTCGTTTGCCAACTGAGACTTTAAATGCAGAGTAACCCAGCATGCGCTACCTTGACGAGGGAACTTATGAAATCTCCAAACAAGAACCTAAATGCATCTTGATGATACCCTGTTCGTACAGATTGACCAAGGTCTTGAACTCCGTGTCAAAATCGTGTACTGTTTTTCCGAATGAGGGATTGTGGTAGTGGTAGGGAACTTCACTTCCGTTGATCGCTTTCTCGTACGGCCAGAAACCGAAGACGTTGATTTGATCACAGACATCGAAGAGGGATAAGATGAAGTACATACCTGTTGGGCAGAATTATAACAGAATACCGTTTTATTGCTAATGCAGTCATCTACAGGGCAATGCAAAAAGAAGGAAACCAACTTTTGACACGAATTTTAACCTACTTACTTAACTTATTTGAATTTATTTTTGTAATGTAGTAAAGTTAAACTCTTCAACCATACATTGTGACAAATCTTTTGAAAAAAAACCCCTCAAGAATAGCATTATTATGCTAATTTGAATACAAGTCACCAAAATCACTGTTGATCACGTGTAAGGCTTGTGTTTTTTGTCTTCAAATCAAGCTCCGGAGCTCAGTCAAGCGGATGGAATAAAACAGTCCATGGACAAACAGGTTCGGCACTTGAAATTTTGAAACTACCATATCTCAGAGACTAAACATGCATCTGTAACCATTTTTTCGTCACTTATGTTTAAATATCAATATTTTAATACCATTAAATTGAATTTTTGAAATATGCTCAACAAGTAGGTGAAAATAGCTGTCAAAAGTGGGATTCCTTCTTTTTGCACTACCCCGTATAGAAGAAAATTGAGAGAAGTTAAAGTAAGTTTTCGTGGGATTGTGAAGTTTTACTTCAGGAAAAACATTCAAGACCTCACTACGAATTAATAACCGAGGACGTAACGGAACGTTTCTCCCCTCCAAAAACTGCTCTCAAATTCATCGAAAATACAACTGCGAAACAGTGTTGTGGTCGAGTCCATCACAGATCGCAAGTCCTTCAGTCTCAAGTCAAGTCACAAGCTATTCAAATGAACTGTTACAAAGCATTCCTTTGTCATTATTCACCCCTTACTTGTGACAGGACTTGTGACAGGACTTGTGATGGACTCGACTACAACACTGCTACGAAATGCAGCCTCCGCTCCAAAATATTAACATCAAGAGAAATGCATGAGCCAATACTGTCGGCCAAAAGTGTTTAATGGAGAGCAAGAATTTGCTGTGGTTGATAACCTTTTTATTGGTGATTGTCAAGAGCAGTTGATATAATAGTTCGCTATACAGCCGCAAGGATATCCTTAAATTCACCATAATGAGCGCTTAACTGATTTAGAGGCAAAGCATTTACTGAGGTCCATTTCTCAAAAACATCAATAATTGATATTTGACAAATTGAAAGCACGGAAATTCCCCACCCCACAGGGGCGGCCGAACGCTTTTCAAACTGGGGGACAACACCAAAAACGGCACTAATCCAGAAAAAGGGGGCACCTTCCGTCGGTGTGAAAGTGAGGGCCCTTCGGCCTCCGCAATGGCGGATCAAGAACACAACTTTTTATAGGGGGGCGCAGTGGGTTCACAAATTCACGGCGCAGGGTTCGGGGCCAGCGGCCTGCTGAAGGGCCCGGGGGGATGGATTTTAGATGCTCTGAGGCAATTTCTGACCACTTTAACCAATTTGGGTGAAAATGGTAGGGTGCGGTAGGCGTAGTGGCTGCCTTTTTGCGACGTCAAAAAAATAAAATTGGGTTCGTATTTTTTTTTGGGGGGGGGGGGGGGTGGAGGAGCGAGAGGCATGACAATGTTGCATCCACCCTTAGGCCTTCAGCACACCGCACACCCTCCGCCCCGGCCCTGTCAGTAACCCACCTGGGTCCGCCAGACAATGTCGAGAGACCATTTTTTTTTATCGCGAGAGGGGCACTGTTGCTTTTGATGGCCAGCTCAGTGACCATCGTTTTCGCGTGAGGAGGAACACTATCATTTTTAAAGGGCAGTTTTCCATGAGAGGGGCACTAATAAAATTGTGCTTTCGATGGGGCAGTTTTCCATCTCGAGAAGCTATCGTGAGATGCACTATTGTTTTTGATGGCCAAGGTTCCATTTCAAGAGGGGCACAATTATATTGTTGCGAGAGGGTTCTCGTGCTTTCAAGGGGTAGTTTTCCATCTCGAGAAGGTGCACAATCTTATTAATGCGAGAGGGGCACTTGTGTTTTTGTGAGGCAGTTTTCTATTACAAAAGAGAAGATTTTATTTTAATTTCATTTGCAGCTTGATCATATGCTTTCATACGTGTGCGCTTGAGGGGCAGTTTTGTTTTCATCTCGAGAGGGTACATTTATAACCGCAAGAGGGGCACTTTTGTTGGCCTGGGAAAATCCGGGGGGGGGGGGCAAGATCCCCCCGGTTCCGCCGCCCCTGCCACCACATTAACTCAATGTCTCCCCGATTCTTTTCAACACGAGCAACTTTGCAATATCTTGCCAAAAACAAATCTGCTGAATATTTTGTCCCTTCTGTGCCACCATACTTACCCGTTGTTGGCAGCGCACGTTTCATTGCCATCTTGTGCCAAAGGTTGATGACGGAGTGGTGGTGTTCGGGATGCCCAATTAGCGGCTGGACCATCTTGGAATCGAAGGCAGCAGCAGCGGTTAACTGCATGACACGAAAGAATCTCGAATTGCCAAACGCTGGTAGCCACAGTTTGCTGCCTTTGAACTGTTTGAGAATGGCGCCGAATTGTGAACGGTCGGATTGTTTCTTGAACCCATTCAACCTGAAACAAAAGGGAGATTATTGTATGAAAGTGTTATATATATAGGAGGCTTTTGTAGGAATAGAAGAAAGGGGTGTGATGTTACTCTTGTGTCCCCAGCCATAATTTTTTGAAATTTATGGCAAATTTTACAATGATATTATTATGAATAGAGAGATATGTTTATTTAATTTTTGGAGATGATTTTGCAATTTCGGAGAACTTAAATACTTTAGGTTGCAAAGAAAACTTACCAGTATTTTACATAGCTAGGATTCAAGGTGGTAAAATTTGTCTTGCTTCCAACGTCTGTCTCAAATCCCTTCACCGGGGCGATATTGAACCTGCAGAAGATTCAATTTTACGCAATTTGTATGGCATCTTTACAAGTAAGGCGTCAGCTCCAACCAGCAGACGGTTGTTGGTTCGGGTCTTATCGTACTAATCTTCTGATTACAGTTTTTCGCATGCCTGGGGGAGGGCACAAAAACATCTCTCAAACTCAAATCTTAATCTTCCAAGATTTCAATTGAGGTCAAGAGGCGAACCGGCAAACCAATAATGGCGAGCTCAGTATTCGAGTGGTGATGACTTCTGTAATAGAACAAAGGAGGTCGTAGGTTCGAGTCCCATCACATCCGAGCAAGCTTGTGAATTTTCTGAGAGCCCCGAGATAAAACGGTGGTAATTCAGCAAAAATCTAATAGGCGGGTGCTAAAGTCAAGTTAATTAATAAAACTGCTTAATTTTCTTTCTCGATTAATACGGCAAGAAGTACCAGATAAATTCATTGAAATTTAGGAATGCCACACAGGTCCACAGCACAGAATAGGCCCCCTTTGCACAAGAACAAACGTCCAATTTTAGCAAAGCAAGCCAAGTACTGATTCCTACAACAACTTATAACAAAGGCGTGAACACAATATGTTTTTTGTCCTTTGCCTTTTTGGGTTAATAAAACTGTTCTTATTAAGACCACGCCATCTAAATTATGAAGTGAGTAACTCTAGAAGAGAAATGCAGTCCTCAGTAGAAACATTAACTTCGATGTTTCGTTCAATATGCTTTAAACGTCATCGGGAAAAGAAATGCAAAACCACTCGATACAGAGGGGAGAGTTCTTAAAGAGAAGGGGAGGATCTAAGGTGCATCGGTGGAAGAAGGAATCAATCTCACCTCACAACATACTGCGATCGGTCGATCTCCTTCCCACACCCGGATCCTCTCAGGATGCCGCTTGATCCTACCACGCTGCAGCTCTGAAACTGGCCTGATTTGAAGTTCGCATCCTTAGGAAAACATACACAATCGTTCCAATGATGTATCACATTAAAGACAAAAACACAATCAAAACAAAAATCCACAAAAAAATAATGAATGTTCAATTCAGGATTCTACTCACCTCTGGCAAGTAATTCCAGAGGGTTTGAGAAATGCTACGATTAGCTCCAACAATGGAAAAGCGCATCGTTGTTCCCACCTGGGCGTTATTCTTAGTCAGCGAGAAAACACCAATGTTACCTGCATCTCCCAACTCCCGCCGAAGTTCGACACTGGAAATAAAAACAAAACACATACTGTAGGGGTATTTATATATTAAGAATAGTTCCTGGATAGGGAGTGATCATGGTCTCCGTGCATAACTAAAGATGGCGCTGTTTGAAAAAGCTTAGCTTATTCACTTAGTAAATAATCGATATCACAAATTGCCCAGTCCTGAGAAGATGTCATCATGAAAATTCTTCAGTTCTCTGGCTGCCGGACTAAGAGATTATGGTGGTACATTTATACTTTATGTCTTTGGCTATTTTACAGGTTGTCCCACAGTCGAATCGGGCATGTTTTCAGAAAAAATGGGGGTAGTATTCAAAATTGTGTCATGTATTTGATAAGAAAAATTGGTCTTCCAAATGTTTTTAGTTGGTTTCATTAGGATGTCTACGGGACTTGAAAAACCACTTGGGACAAAAGTTTACAGATCGAAGCCGGTGGAATAAGTCACACGTTACTCTTGAACAAAGGAAATAAATCCTTTGTGTGTTTCTCTAACTGCGCTTTCTCACTTTCAAGGAAAGTAGCCCAAGACGATTTTCAACCCTTGAGTTCGATAAACCATAGCGCTTGTTGCAATACATCGATTTGAATGAAATGAAGTTTGTATGGTAAATTGGTTATCTGACTTTAAGAAATGATTTGAAAATATTCCCAAAATCACATACAATATACATGTGCCTTTATTAATGGTTTTCGACTGTTTTTTTTGTGTGTGGGACAACCTGTGTAAGATTACCTGAATTCACGTTTTTTCTTCGCACTTGGTTTCCTACCCCGGCCCTGTTCTATTACTCCTTTGAGGTGACGGAAAAACTCTGTAGCGTTGTTGCTGTAATTATGGCGGTATTTCTCAACAAAAGGTCTGAAACAAGAAGAAAACCAAATAATCCATACGATTGTATATGAACTTACGTGATTTCCCCTTTTTTTTGCTAGTACAAAAACCAGGATGCCATCCAACATATTGTGCAATAAAAATCTTTGAATGTCTTCCTTAAATAAGGTTGATATATCACACTCACGCCCCCAACGGTGCTGAAAGGGAATTGCCTGAGACGACGCAACGGACACAAAACGGACAAAAACCGCATTTTTGGAAGGCAAACGCCTGACGTCATTTTGCCGGCGTACTTGCGCTTAATAGCCATGCGAAGAGGACTATAATCACCAGTCTGTTTACCCATCATTCCCATCCGCGGATTACTTATAGGAAACGCCAAGAGTGCAGTCATTAGATTTGGAGCATGTGCGTTTACGGAAACATAATTAGAAATGCGTCCAATTATCCTGAAATCAAGCCTGGCCTCCATAATCTTTCTGTATCCGGGCCATGTGTCTGATCTATAAAGTGAGAGGACCACATTGAGTTTTATTTCTTTCGTGTGGAAATTGTCTTAGATGTCAGGAGATGCTTGAAATTTATTAGCAAAGGAAGATTTAAGTTTTAGCTATATTCTTCGTTTCCTACCTATTTTTTTTATCAATTCGATGAATTGCCCAAGATATACGCGCGTGATTCATGAATATTTTTGTATAGCCTAAAATATTCGTGTAAAAAACGTCCTACTCTTGATTATAATAATAATAATAATAACTGTATTTATATAGCGCTTTTTGCCAGAGGATACAAAGCGCTGGGGGAGAATGCAACCAAAGCCAGGTAAATGAAGTATATGAACATTACGAGACCCACTATGTAGCACCTTTTTGCTAGGTGCTGCAGCGCATATTGCTGCCACTGCCAGAAACACCGGGGCAAACCCCTCCTCTTAGCGACAAGTGTTACTGGGTTCTTTAACGTGCATTACACAACACACGGGACCTACGGCTTTACGTCCCATCCGAAGGACGAAGCAATAATGGTAAAGTGCCTTGCTCAAGAGCACAAGCACCATGTTCCCACAGTCAGGATTCGAACCCGTGTACCACGGCACACGAGTCGAACACCGTAACCATTGGACCACAGCGCCCCTAACTCTGTTGTTTACCAATACAAATAACCAAAATTTCAGAGCTTGTCAATAAAGCATGACAAATTGTATGGAGCGAGTTTCATTAGCTTTGTGCAAGGGGGGGGGGGGTAAAAAGGTCATACGCAAAAATAGTCACTTTCAGAATCTGCCACTTTCGACTTGGCGTACCCTAATGTCGAATATAGCGCTGGAGACGGTGGCGGAAGGCACGTTCTGCGGCCGTGAGCTTCTGAAGGAATGCACGAGAGGAGGTGTGCAATGACATCAGGGGTGATCCTGCATTCTTTAAGAATCTTTTGGCCGCAGCACGCGCCTTCCGCACCGTCTCCAGCACTGTATCGACATTCTGGAATAAGTAATTTTGTTGTATGGCGTTTAAATCTCACCATCTTGCACAAAGCTGATGAAACTCGCTCCATAAGATGTGTCATGCCTTCTTTTGATCTGAAACTCTGGTTTATTGCATTCGGGTAAACAACTGAGTTATTTAGGATCAGAAAAAGGACCGTGTTTTTATTGGCACGTAGTGGTTATATAATCGCTAACCCGGGTCCTTGCTGTTGTCATGTTTGCTGGTTTCCTCGTCCATTCCACATGCCTGCTAACATTCTCCTCCTTGCTTTCATGAAGCATGGAAATAATGTGAAGTTGAATTGAATTGAATTGAATTGAAGTGCCTCGTGTGTTAGTCGAGCCAACTACACCGATAAATCAATACAACTCTCAAGTAATCAAGGGGTTCAACCATTGCTGGTTTTACTCTAACAATTGGAGAATCAAATAAGATATTTGTGTGTGGGTCAGAAAAATTTCACTGGTTATCCTTATCCGAATATGTAGAACTCTAATGTACGTGTATCAGTACTCTTTAAGGTATAGGCTTTAGGCCAAAAAAAGTCTCCGGTTTCCGCATGGCTACGGCGACGCGCACGTCGGCAAAATGAAAAAGGTGGGTTTTTTTCAATGAAAGATGATGTCTCAAACGGCCAAACTCACTGGTTTGACTGGAATCCTGCTGCTGCACAATTTTAACGTGTTTTTAGATGGGGTTATGATCGAGAATAAGCTTTATGTGGCCTCTCTGGACTCCCATACATTTGCACGAAGTTTAGTCGGGCACAATTTGCAGTCATCAGCCAACATTTGAAGCAAAAAAAAAAAAGGTAAAAAAAAAAAATCCGCGTCGCCGCACCACTTTTTGGGCAAGCTGCATACCAGAAACCGGAGACTTATTTTTTGGGCCTTACTGGCTATTTAAAAAAAATCATTAAATCACCAGCTCTAACATTCAATTGCGTCCAAATTCAAATTCACACGCTTTTACCAAAACCAATTAGTCATTCACCATGTAATTTCCAAGTTTTGTTAACCTCTTTAGTCGTTTGGTGTCAAGAATATTCGTCATTACATATTAAATTCGTCTAGGCTGTTGCGGAATGGCAGAATTCAGATATCACATTTGTCCTCTATCAATCAATTTAAAATGTTATAAAGTGAACTAGTTTGGTGTGTTCTAAAGCATTTTCCTTGTGTCCCCAAGCACAATTTGGCACATTCATTGCCATGAATATTCGGACCAAAGCAGAGTTCTAAACTCAAGAAGAGTTACCGAACAAAAATGAAGTTTACAAAGATCAACAATACGTTCTTCGTGATTCGTGAAATCGGCTCAGTCGTCTCTTGTTGATATTAGCATACCTAGTTTTTTTGACCACATCTTCTCCTTGATAACTGTTATAATTGTTGGTTTAATGAGAAAATAATAAATTCAATGCTATTTCAATTTCATTGTGCAATTCAAAGCGGGAATCCAACGTGAATAATACATGCATGAAGTTAAGTTTTGGCAGTTCTCTGCTGGAGCGAAGGGTCACTCGGTGCTGCCTGACTATGGACCACGTGTTTTGTGACGTCATACCAATGGGCAACCGACCGGCAACCCAAACATTAAGCATCTTTTGAATGTTGTGTTGTCCATATACAACATTTGATGCTCCGTTGCGCTGAGGTTGCGCCAACCTTTAACCCTCACCCTTCGGCGGTAAGCTCCACGAATCCAGGACAGAGCTGCAGATGTTGTTTTTGCACAAAGTGCATGTGGAGTTATTTTGGACTAGAACAGCACATTTTCAGGTTTGGCATTTATTTTAATCAGAAACTATAAATATACAACCTCCCAATTAGTTTTTTGTTTATTTAGTGAAAAACAAATTTTATAGGCATGTATACGAAAAACATTCCGATCGGATGTATTTCGGGATATTTTGTGATCTTGTGGACGAAACCTTGGGTAACATTCTGATTTTCAAACATAAGTCACGTGACCTTCACTTTCCTGGTTCCTGGATGTGCAGTAATAAATGATATAAACCAAAAAAGGAGCAATATTTTGTGTACAACCAAATTACTAAAATGTCAGGGGTGGTACGCCAAACATTAAACAAATGATGATAACGTCATCTTTTAAATAGGGGTCCCTCTAGAGACACATGACGGAAGATTTATTGTTTTAAGTTATGACCATACATTTACGAGTGTTGGCCACAAACAGTTCTTGTACAACTCAACTTATTTTTTCAGTTCCAAAACGGTGACGTCATCAAGGCGAAGTTATTGTGGGAAGAATTTTGACATTTTCCACTTGAATAAACTACTTCATTTAAATACACAACAGAGATGAAACTGTGCCGCATTAACGACGGCAGCAGCTAGATTTTCCCTTGACAACATAAATATGTTGACGATACATCTTTTATCATTATTTATCAGATCCTCTCAATGCCTAAGACGCCCCGTTAAACTGCGCTGTAAAGGTATGGCCCCAAAATGGCGTCCACGTTATGCAGAAATTAAATTCGAAAAAAAAACACACATATAATTTCTGCATTTCGCAGGGACTCAAAGGCCATTCGGCATATGCTCTAAATATGCCGATAAGTATGCCCAACTTAGCACAACACATTGCGTGCGAAGGCCATCAGTGAGATTTGCCCATGTTTTATGTCAGTAAAGTGAGGCGGCTTTAAGTCAGTTACAGGTACTTCAAAGTCAGTGTACTTTGCCACAAAAAGCTGCTAGATTCCAAGAATTCAGAGTTACTGAGCACTTTAATTATAATAGAGACAACAGGTGTTATTTTATAAATCTCTTTGACGTCATCAAATTGACGTCATCAAATATCGCCCGATCACCTTGTGTTTGTGAGGCCACTGTTTGAGTGTTTTTATGCTCTGGCAGGAGATTCTACGTGTCACGTGGTCTGTCGGTCGGTGGGTCGGTGGGTCTGTCCCAGGAATATTGACCAAGTTTCCCATAAAGTACCAAATTTAGATTTCACACAAAGTAGCAAACCAAATAGATTAAATACTTCACAAAAATAGTTTGTAACGATCGTTGATGTTTATGAAAACTTCATGAATCACTATCTCCGCTCAACGCTATAGACTTCCATGCAAGACGGCCATAGCGTATTGTGCAATCGCACTTGTTTTGTTTTTATCATCGACGGGTTGATAAGCCCAACGGCTTTCAAGACCACTGACGTTTACACTGAATCCTGCTTTGGGGATCGCATTTTGCAAGAGGATACAACCACGGGGAAGCTATCCGTAAATAAACCGTGCGTGCCGCGCAGGGGCAGCGGAACTTTTTCTTTCCGCGCGCTGGGCAATCGGTAAGCCTCTTACTTGCATTGCTTACGATTTCGATGCAAATTCGTCACCGTCACTATCCGGTTCGTTAGTGTGACGTCACCTCCAGCAATCTCTGCACGATTGGAACCGGAAGTTAACGCAGTTCGAGAGTTTGCAGCCAATGGGCGCTAGTAATCGTATTTAATGCACTGTACTCATCATCGCATTATCGCTCCACGCATGCCTTTCTGCGAAAT